ACACACACACACACACACACACACACACACACACACACACACACACAAATTTAATGTATTTCCATCTTTGTTTTTGTTTTTTAAGACAGGGTTTTACTTTGTAGCCTTGGCTATCCTGGAGTCGCTTTGTAGATGAGGCTGGCTTCAAACTCACAGAGATCCTCCTTCCTCTGTCTCCTTGAGTGCTAAGATTACAGTCTTGTGCCACTATGACCAGCTATTCCTTTCCAACTTACATAAGTGTTTATCATATATTATGAAAGTCACCAGAAACTTTTGCAGTTTGAAGTGGGATAGAAAAATTAGTACATATTTCTTTTTCCTTCACAATTACATGAATAGAAGGCTAATTCCTATGTCAATCTTAGAACCTTAGTATAAGCTATTTTTTTCTTATTAAGAAAAGTATTATTTACTTTTTTATTAGTCACCTGTTTGTACTAACAGATGCACTTTATATCTTTTATTTTACATGATTTAATTACTGAGATCACTAGTAATCACTCTTACACTGAGGCTATTTTTGAGGAAAAAAAAAGCTACTCAAAAGCAATCACGTAGAGCCAGGCACGGAGGTGCACACCTGTAATCTCAGCACTAAGGCAGGCAGATCTCTGAGTTTGAGGCCAACCTGGTCTACAGAATGAGTTCCAGGACATCCAAAGCTACGTAGAGAAACCATGTCTTGAAAAACAAAACAAACAAAAATCATCACTATGGTGCCATAACAATTAATTTGCTAACAGTGAGAGTGTTAAATGCCTGATGGACACATAGTATAGGCTGTGCATATGTTGGCCAAAGAGAAGAGTCATATCCCAGGCAGCACATAGTAGATGGCACAGAGTTTATTGTACTATACATAGTTCTTCATTGGTGAAGAATGCATACTCTTCTCACAGAATTCATATTCATATATATATATATATATATATATATATATATATATACACACACACACATACACACACACATTTACACAAATGTGTATGTGTGCTTGCTTAAAAATCATTCTACTTCATTTCTGAAAATTGCCATTTCATATTTTTAGACAAAGGCAAAGATTTCAGGTAAATAAAATCATGGAAAAGTAAAGTACCAAAAAAAAAGAAAAGAAAGAAATGAAAAGAAAGGGAAAGTACAATAAGAGGGCACAACTGTACAGCATTTGCTTCTGTTTCTGATAGCCACAGGCTAGTCAACATTGTATCTCCTGTATGAATTTGTCTTCTACTATACTGACTCTGTCATTTCTCCTTTACAGTAGAGGACACATGAGACAGACAGATAACTAGAACCTGGGCATGACCCAGGAAGTTTGGGATGAGTCTGACTGAAAAACCCTGTATTGAAAACCGTGGTCAGGATGGAATATCTGAGAGAAGAATAAAATCTCTCACAGAGAGAGAGAGAGAGAGAGAGAGAGAGAGAGAGAGGGAAAGCAAGCTTTTCATTGGCTTTTTATGATCTGGAGGGCTCATTAGTTCTTAATCCTGATTAATTTTGAACCCTGTTCTCAGGCTTTGGTGAGATTAATGAGAAACAGAGTGTTACCCAGCTGTCACAACACACTATTCCTTTCTTTATCCTTATATATAACAATTATTAACACCACTGTATTTATGTGTTACTTATGTGACTCCTCTGGTATAGTGTAAACTCAAGTAAAGGCAAATCTTTGTTTCAGCTATATCATCAGAGTTAGAAAGATTCCAGCCACATTCTTAGATGCACTACTAGATATTCTGTATAAATATGAATATGCAAACAATTTATGCATAAACAATATGTTAGGCTTTTTGATGTAGTGGATAAAAACAAAGGGGGACAGATTTATTTTAGCTGATGGTTTCAGCCCATGATTACTTGGTTCCTTTGTTTGTAGGCCTATTGTTGTGGGCCTATTGTGAGACAGATAATCATAGCTACAAGAATATGTGCTTATCACAGTTGCTCTCCTCACAGTAGCCAGAAGCAAGGGGAATGAATGCCTACATTTGTGTGCTTCTTTCTTGTCTTTTTCTTTTATTTAGGACCCTAGTTCATTGCATTATGCACACGCTTCTCTCCCCTTAATCACCTGTGAAAATGCCTATACATACAGAACTGTGCCTGAGAAACCTTTTAGTCATTTTTAAATCCAGTCAAAATTATAAGATTAATCATCATGAGCCCCCACTCTGTTCATTTGACACCCTATCAAATCACCTTAAATTATACTTAAATTCCAAATAAAGACAGCAACATGATCATAATTCTACCTAGAATGATATAACTATTCTATATACAACTGAAACCACCCAAATTCTTTTCCCAAAGTGTCAACAGATTCACACACAAAAATTCCAAGAACAAAGTCTACCTGGAGACTGGTGGCAATCTCCTGTCTGTGAATCCCTATAAAAGTCAAGCAATTTACGTACTCCCATCATAAAGTGCACAGAGTAACCACTCCCATTCCCAAAGGCAAGGATGGGTGCATAAGGAAGGAGGAGGGGACCCAAGCAAACACAAAACCTCTCAGGTCAAGTTTGAAATCCTAGAGTTTAATGTCTTTCAGCTGGAGCATAGGGCACTATGATGTGAACTCCTCAGGGTATGGAGAGCCATGCCCCATCCAACCTTGCTAGCTACTACAGCCCATGTCATTTCATCCTTATGATGGCTCCAACTTGCTCCTAGTGCTTCTAGTTCTTTAGATGTCAATGGCAGGGTGGTAATGACACACCTTTAATCCCAGCACTCAGGAGGCAGAGGCAGTCAGATCTCTGTGAATTTGAGACAAGTCTCATCTACAGAGAGAGTTTCAGGACAGCCAGGGCTACACAAAGAAACCCTATCTTGAAAAAAAAAAAAACAACTGCCTTCCAAAAAAGATGTTCCATGTTCTTGACATTTCCAGCTTCTTGGATTGTCCCCTGTATCTTTAGCTTCATTCTCACAGCTTTATACAGTGCCCTCTCATGGCTTCTTCCATTGACCCTGATGCACATTGTCTGGTTTCTCAGACTTTCCTTTGAAATCTAGATAGACACCTCCAAGACACCAAGATTCTTAGATTCAATACTCTCTACCATCAGTTGATGGTGGTAGCTAGTCCTTCCTGAAACATGGCTGCAGCAACATCCAAATATCTGAGCCGCTGAACTGTGAATAGGGTACCATGTCAGCACTCTCTTCTCAAGGGGAAGTCTGTAAAATGAGTTTATATTTTAACACGTTAGCCCTGTAATGGGTAGGGTCACACTGATTCCTGAGGTATAATCAAGATTCCTTTCCTATTTTACTGGTGGAAAGTGCTTCACATTATTAACGTTGTTGTCATTGCTAAACATTTTGAGATTGGGTCCAGAGCCTTGTTTGTGGTAGGCATGTGCTCTGTCACTGATATTCATACTCATTCCATTTAACCTCTTTTTAATGATACTAATCTTTTTAGACTTTATGACATTTTTGTTTTGCTTTTTTTGTTTTTTTGAGACACGGTTTCTTTATGTAGCCTTGACTGTTCTTGAACTTGCTCTGTAGACCATGTTGGAGTAAAACTCACAGATCCACCTGCCTCTGCCTCCTGAGCACTGGGATTAAAGGCTTGCACCACTGCTACCATCACCACCTGGTAATCATGACTTTTTTTTTAAATTATAAAAACTTCCTTTAATCAAGGCTTGTAACATGGAAGAGATTTAGCAGATAAAATGGAAAGTTTCCAATACATTGAGGCACAAATCCATAAGTTACCATGAATACAACAGCCAATAGTAAAAACCGCAACAGCAAATTCACACTATCCTTGTAACAGCCATAATCTGATTTTCACGTGCTTCAGAGAGATGGTGAATATTTCCTGCTGATACAGGGAACACTAGGGCTTTGAGGTCACATTCACCTGACAAAGCTGGGGCATTGGTGGCTCAACTCAAGAAGCAGTGTAGGTATCAGCACATTCAAGCAGTGTATTGAATGAACATCCTTTAAATATCAAAGTGGGAAATAAAGCAACATGATCATGATATCAGAAAGATGGTAGGAAGTGAGGACAGCTGTGTAAAACTTGAGGCAGAAAGCTGGTTTGTCAGCTTCATTTCTTTGGCTTCTTGGGTAGTGGTCGCCAGAACAGTAAGATGTGAGGTTCTGGTTAATGGATCATATAATGGACCCATCCCTGACTCTGCTGCATGCCAAGGTTTCTCTATTCAGATTCAGACATCAAATGGGATTTAGGGACCAGCTTGGCTGTGTTCTTGGGCAACATGACATGCTGGTACTCAAAGTCCTCATTGTCATATTCGTATTTGTCTGAATAGTGTGTTTGTGCAACATAACTGCTCTGCCCGAGTGTACTCAGCCCCGAGCTGCTGGCCTCCAGACAACTTCCAGCAACACTCCAATCATGACTTCTTTAATCACAACTTTATGTGTGTTTCCCAGGCCAAACGAAAACATTTTTTAAGTCTTTGCATTCTGGTGCTAGAGATGGTTCAGCACTTAAAAGCGCTGACTGCTCTTGCAGAGGACCTGGGTTCAGTTCCCAGCACCCACATAGCAGCTCACAAACACACAACCCCAGTTCCAACATAGATTTGACATTCTCTTCTGGCCTTCTCAAGCACTGCACACACAGGATGCACAGATACACATGCAGACAAAATTCCTATATAATAAAATTTAAAAAAATAACAAAACAAAATCAGTCTTTCCATTTTGCTCCTCCAGCTCCCATAGATTCTCACTGGAAACCTGACTAAAATCAGATAGTAACCCATGTAGAACAGGCTGAAAGTTGTGTTGCCTTTTGTGTTCAGCCTTCCACAAAGTCTCAAGGCATAACAAAATGCAGTAAAGTTGTTTTCTACTATGCAACACGAACTGCCTCTACTTCTATCCCAAAAAGATAGAATTTTCTTTCTCATGTGATGCCTAAGGAGTACAATCTTTTCTGTCTAGACTCTAACAACATTCTGATTTTCTGAGTTCCCAGTAGAGTCATCATTAAGTTCTGCTTACAAAATTCTAGATGTTCTCTAGCTAAGGTCTCAAAGTTTGCAAAATTTTCCCACAAACTAGTTGCAGAGGCTTCTGAACCACATATTCAGGAATAATTACAGCAACAGCCTTACCCCTAGTGCAAATTTTCTGTGTTAGCCAGATTTTTGTTGCTGTGGCAAATACATGAGAGAAACAATTTGGAAGTAGAAATCTTCATGTTTTACTTACCATTTCAGAAGCTTCAAACCATGATCAACTGGACCCATTGCTTTGGGCCTGAGATAAAACAGAATATTATAGCAGTAGAAGAGTTTAGCAGAGGCGACTTTGTTATAGCCAGGAAAGGAAGGATAGAATGCAGCCTCACAAAACATGCCTCCATAGTGACCTCTTTCATTCAGAAAGGCCCTTCCTTCAAATGTTTCCACCACCTCCAAACAACGCCACTAAATTATCCCTTAGTAGATTAATCCATTCTTAAGTGAATGTCTACGTGATCTAGTCACCTTTCAATGATTGGATTCACTAGTCAGTGTCAATGCCTTCAACATATGAGCATATCATATCCAAACCATAAAATTTATATACATGAATATATATGTAAGTACATACATGTGAACTTCTTATATATAAATACATATGCACAGATATACATATATTTATTGAGTAAATATACAGTAATACAAGGTTGTTGCTGAGGACAGTTAAGCTGTGTAGACTATTGAACTATAGGTTTTCAGGCCAAAAATGCTTGGATTTTAAAAATATTGTTGTTGTTGTTATTTTACTCTAAATTGACTCAACACTTTACTCTTGGAACATTGGTCTTCTTTCCTAGACATTGTTTATAGCTTGAGGAAATGGTTGACTCCACCCGTACAAACACCAGCTGTGATTCACATCTTCTATTTGGTTCTTGGATGCTGTTTGAGAAACTTTGAGTGAATGTTATAGCCATTCTTAAAACACTAACCTGGGAAATGATTTTTCCAGCAGATTCCATGGAGAGTTTCTCTCACATGCCCTCCTCCCTCCAGCCATCCCCTGCCAGTTCACTTCATACCGCCCATGTTGCCAACTCTGCCTTGCCAAAAGATGACCCAAATGCTAATACTGTAGCTACTGAGGAAACCAGAAGTGAGTCAGAGTTTCCTTTCCTTCCTGATTATCTGATCCTGTCCAACTGTGAGACTGGAAGACTGCACCATGGCAGGTACGCTTATTTTTGAGATTCAGTTGGGCCTTCTAGCATGTTCTACTCTGTTCACAGAACTCACATTGCTGTTTGTAGAGTCTGTCCATATGAGATGTACTCAAACCACATAGCCAAATAAGTCTGTTTAGCAAGAGTGTTTTCTAGTAGGTGAATCTACTCTCATCTCTTTCTTACTATTGCCAAAAACAATGGTAGATGATTATCAGTATCGCTATTAAAGATGAGGTAGTATACTAAATAAAATGAGTCATGAGTTTCAGCATTGTGGCTTTCATTTCTAACCCTGCATTTTCATACTCGTCTGCTATAGAAGATGAAAAAAACAGCAGACTCATTATCATACTCATTTTCATACTCGTCTGCTATATAGGATGAAAAAAACCAGAAGACTCTTTCTGCACTAAGGAGTTGGTATATCTTTGGGCTGTAGAAAGAATAAATCTCTATAAGTAGAATAAAAAGGTGATACATGGAAACTTAGAATGAGGCACATGTGGATGTCTACATTTCAATCAAGTTTTATATATTTTTTTTCCTTTAGTCTTCCTACCAGATGTGAAAGCTGGTCAAATTCAGACCGCTCATTGGAACAGACTTCATTTGATGATGTTTTTCTTGATGGTCTGCAGCCGTTTACCTCTAATAACTTGGTCCACCCCTTGTACTATGGGAATGGATCTCAGGATGTGCCTTCCACAAGGCCCCAGCCTGCTCTAATCTGGAATAGAGATATCAATGGCCCGTCCAGGAACCATGTGCCTTCTTCATCATTGCTGGAATCTTCCTTAAACCCTACAATTCATGTGGGAAAAAAGCAAGTTTGCTTACCCAGTGGGGCAAAGGAACTAAACATTATGTCCAACACTCCACCTCCTCGTCCCCCTAAGCCAAGTTATCTCTCTGAACGGCTCCAAGATCAGCTCCTATTGACTGGGCACAGCAGTAACAAGAAGCCAGGGTATACTATGATGCCAAGAAGAACCTCTCTCTCTGGTTTAGACCATGTGGGGTCCTGGAAAGGTAAGTGTTGGGTACTAATATTCAGATGCAAAATTATGGACAAGGACTATCCTTCACAATTCCTTATCATACTTTGTGTCCATATGGTAGCATTCTTTGTTGAAACTAGCCTAATCTTCTAATGAAGCTGAGTGTGTGGTGAGAGCACACAGAACTCTCCTGTTTCTAGGTACACCCACTCCTCTTTTTAGCCTAGCCACCAGGGAAGATTCTTAGGTTGCTACAGATCGGGTAAAAGGCCAGAGCCCCTGCCCATTGTGAGTCCTTGCCCAGGTTGTAATCGGCTCATCTGAGACTAAGCTAATGATTTTTATTCGGAGTACCTGAGGATGTACTTTTTAGCACAAAAGGTCATATCATTTTCTTTCAGCTCAGTTCCATTCTCTTCTCTGCCTCTCATCGGCATAATGATCCTGGAGACTAGATCATAGCCCCTTGTATTTCAATTTTGTTAGTCTCATTTCAGCATCCCAATTCACATGTTCTTTCTAGATCCTAATTGGTGATATGTAATTCTCACCAAGCCTCATCAATTTGATCTACTAGAATACCCTCCAGTGTGAATGACTCGCAGTTTTGTATATACCGTCATTTTCTACTACTTTGCCCTTGCACTTCAGCTCTCTGAGGCTTTCAAAAGCTGCTTGACACATAAGCATTCTCCTCACTGTGGCTTTTTAGTAAACACTTTACTGCTTCTTTACGGATTCTCATGTTTTGTCATAAGTTTGTCAGCCTAAGTATCATATTCTTTTTCTTTTTATGCCACCTGGTGGGTCTCAGACAGACACAAAATCCCCTTATTCTCTTTCCCTCCCTCCTTCCAAATACAATCACAGACTCTTACTTACTAAGACCATATATGAAAGGAGTTAGTCAAAGTGTAAGTAAGGCGATTGGTTTTCAAATATCTTATTCTGAATAAAGAACTATGTCACTCTGGAAACACTCAAAATCCCTAATGATGTAACTAACCATGACACATGTTGCTTCCTTCAGACAACCCCAGTGAAATGGGTAGATGCTAATTGAACAAAGGTTTTTAATGCATGGGAATAGTGACAAAAAGTGGGGACAAATATAAGTGGATAAACAAAATTTAGGAACTGAAATGAATAAAGATAATAGAATAATAAGTGTGTAACATACAAATTGAAAAAATTGTAATAAATGATAATAAAAAATAAGAGTATGAAAATAAATTGGAAGTCTTGAGACAAATATAAAATAGGCAGGTTGTGTTTTTATCATATAAAGACAAACACAGGTTAAAATAGATGAGAAGTAGAGATTTTCACCATGAAACATCAGTGGGAGTAGAAGCAAATTGTGAAGGAGAAAGCAGAGGGATATGTAAAGCTGACCGCTCCTTTCTCCATTGCCATCCACCAGGATGTAAGGTTTGTGTATAAAGGCAATGTTTGGCAAAGTCTCATTTTTTTGTTAATTTGGATGTCCATCTGATGACAGTGATCCCCGCATAGGGAAGACTGTCCTATTTCCTCTGTCTTAAATGAAACCCATGAGTGTCAGTCTGAGCTCTGCTTCCTGTCTTCAGCTTGCACTAGGATCACACTTTCTTAAACACTGAATCTTTCTGTCTTGATAGAAGTCAGTTAGAGACAGCCTACAGACTGGGAAAGAATCTTCACCAACCCTATATCTGATAGAGGGCTGATATCCAGAATATATAAAGAACTCAAGAAGTTAAAAAGCAACAAATCAAGTAATCCAATTAAAAATAGGATTCAGCATGTATTGTCACTTGAATTTTTCATCTTAGCCATTCTGATGGATGTAAGGTGAAATCCCAGGGTCATTTTGATTTGCATTCCCTTGATGACTAAAGATATTGAGCATTTCTTTAAGTGTTTCTCCTCATTTGACATTCCTCTACATAGAATTCTCTGTTTAGCTCTGTACCCATTTTTAAATTGGATTACTTGGTTTGTTGGTGTTTAACTTCTTGAGGTCTTTATATATTCTGGATATTAGCTGTCTGTCAGATATAGGGTTGGTGAAGATCCTTACCCAGTCTGTAGGCAATTGTTTTGTTTTGATGACAGTGTAAAGCTTTGCTTTACAGAAGCTTTTCAGTTTCATGAGGTCCCATTTATTGATTGTTGCTCCTAGAACCTGCGCTGTTGGTGTGCTGTTCAGGAAGTTGTCTCCTGTGCCAATGAGTTCTAGGATCTTCCTCACTATTTCTTCTAACAGATTTAGCATGTCTGATTTTATGTTGAGGTCTTTGATCCACTTGGACTTTAGTTTTGTGCAGGGTGATAAATATGGATCTATTTTCATGCTTCTGCATGTAGACATACAGTTAGACCAGCACCATGTGCTGAAGATGCTGTCTTTTTTCCATTGTATGGTTTTGGCTTCTTTATAAAAAATCAAGTATCCGTAGGTGTGTAATTTTATTTCTGGGTCTTCTGTTCAGTTCCATTGATCCACCATTCTGTTTCTATGACAGTACCATGCAGTTTTTATTACTATTGCTCTGTAGTACAGCTTGAGATCAGGGATGGAGACAGAGCCAAAAAATCTGGGCCCAGGGTGTCCTTCAGAGACTAATGAATCAACCAAGGACCATGCATGGAGAGGACCTAGACCTCCTGCTCAGATGTAGCCTATGGGTATCTCAGTCTCCATGGAGATTCCCTAGCAAGCGGAGCAGGGGCAATCTCTGGCATGAATACAGTTGCCTGCTCAGATCACTTCCTCCTGGCAAGGCAGCCTAACTAGGCCACAGAGAAAGAGGATCCAGACAGTCCTGAAGATAGTCTAGGGTCAGATAATAGGGGTGGAGGACTTTCCATATAGTGGACTAGAGGACATAGGGAGGGAAGAGGAAGGGAGTGTGGAACTGGGAGGAGATGAGGAATAGAGCTACAGTGGGGATACAAAAAATATAAATTGTAATAAATAAAAATAACAATAATAATAAAATAAATTTTAAAAATTAAAAAAGGAGTACAGAGCTAAACAGAGAATCCTCTATAGAGGAATGTTGAATGGCAGAGAAACACTTAAAGAAATGCTCAGCATCCTTAGTCATCAGGGAAATGCAAATCCAAATGACCCCGAGATTTCACCTGACACCCATCAGAATGGCTAAGATCAAAAACTCAAGTGACAATACACTCTGGAGAGGATGTGGAGAAAGGGGAACCCGCCTCCATTGCTGGTGGAAATGTAAACTTGTACAACCACTTTGGAAATCAATCTGGCACTTTCTCAAACAACTAGGAATAGTGCTTCCTCAAGATCCAGCTATACCACTCCTAGGCATATATCCAAAATGTTCTTAAGTACACAGCAAGGACATTTGCTCAACCATGGTTGTAGCAGCTTTATTTGTAATAGCCAGAAGCTGGAAACAACCCAGATGCCCCTCAACTGAAGAATGGATACAGAAATTGTGGTATATTTACACAATGGAATACTACTCAGCAATCAAATATAAGGAAATCAATACAAATGAAATTTGCAGGCAAATGGTGGGAACTAGAAAAGAACATCCTGAGTGAGGTATCTCAGAAGCAGAAAGACACACATGGTATATGCTCACTTATAAGTGGATATTAGACATATAATATAGGATAAACATACTAAAATATGTACACCTAAAGAAACTAAACAAGAAGGAGGACCCTGGGTAAGATGATCAATCCTCATTCAGAAAGGCAAATGGGATGGACATTGGAAGAGAAAGAAAACAGGGAATAAGACAGAAGCCTACCTCTGAAAGACTCTACCCAGCAGGGTATCAAAGCAGACACTGAGGCTCATAGCCAAACTTTAGGCAGAGTGCAGGGAATCTTATGAAAGAAGGAAGAGAAAGAAAGAACTGGAGTGGACAGGAGCTCCACAATGAGAGAACAGAGCCAAGAAATCTGGGCCCAGGAGACTTTTTTGAGACTGATAATCCAAACAGGGACTATGCATGGAGATAGCCTAGAACCCCTGCACATACGTAGCCCATGGCAGCTCAGTCTCCAAGTGGGTTCCTAGTAAGGGAAACAGGGACTGTCTCTGACATGAACTCAGTGGCTGGCTCGTTGATCACCTCCCCCTGAGTGGCAATTAACCTTACCAGGCCACAGAGGAAGACAATGCAGCCAGTCCTGATGAGACCTGATAGGCTAGGGTCAGATGGAAGGAGAGGAGGACCTCCCCTATCAGTGGACTAGGGGAGGGTCATAGGAGGAGATGAGGGAGGGAGGGTGGGATTGGGAGGGGATGAGGGAGGGGGCTATAGCTGGGATACAAAAGGAATAAACTGTAATTAATATAAAAATTTAAAAAAGAAGTCAGTTAGAAAATTTTTTTCACCTCCAGTTATTAATATGCAATCTGTAATGGTGATCATAGATTATTTAGCATACCTGTAACTGTCAATGTTTTACATTAGATCCTCAGAACTTGCATATGTATAGCTAAAAGTTTAAATCTTTTGATCAATATCTTATTTCTTTGTACTCCCATGTTCCTGGCAACTACAAAACTAGGCCCCATTTTTATGAGTTAATCATTTTAGATTTAACATGTGAGTTCATGCAGCAGTTTTTCTTTGTCTGGTTGATTTCACTTGCTATGACCTTGCAAATTAAAAGATCTCCTATTTTTATGGCTGAATGACCTTTCACTATATACACGTATATATTACTATGTGTATATATGATGTTCATGTGTGTATGTACATATGCATATGTGTGCATGTATCTATGACATATTTTCCCTTTTACCTGTTGCTGGTAAAAGTGAGAGGCTGCAGGTATCTTTTTGACATATTGATTTCATTTCCTTTGGACATATAATCCTTGTACTGGGACTGCTGGACCATATAGTAGTCCTTTTTAAAAAGTTTATGAAGAAGCTTCATGGTATTTTCCATAGTTTCTGCACTAATTCACATTCCCACCAATGGTATGTAAAGGTTTGCCTTGTTTTGTTTTTCAAGACAAGTTTTCTCTGTATATCCTTGGCTATCCTAG